AGGATATTCTCAATGTGTGTATTCATGCGAAGTCTTACTTCCTACCTAAGATATAGATACAATTGGGGATACAGATACACAATGTGGGTAATGGCATAAATGTGGTTAATGGTACATTATTTGTAATGGTTTGTCATTGGTATTGGTTTAATGTGGGGAAAATGGTTTTTACTTCTTTATTTACTTTCTTGCTACTGTGTAAACTTGAGATCGGATTAACTGTCAATGTTTTATTTCAAAATTTATATATGATATTTGTGAAACGAGACTGACTTGTTTTATATGTTTTCAAAATCTTATCCGAGTTTAAAAGGATTTTTCTACAGAGTTTAGTGCTCACCCCCTACAAGCAATATTGATTTTTAGATTTCGCTTTAGAGGAAGAGCTAGGAGTTGATGAGTAGGTCGCTTGGGAAGCTCAATTGGATGGAAGGGTGGATCCTGAGGGGGATGTCTAGAATTGTTCTTTTTATGTTCTAGACTAGGAGATTCATTTTGAGATAATGTTCATGTTAATATTTTTCTTATTTCGCTGCGATATAATAGTTTGGCATATTTTTTTAGGCGTAATTGTCATAGTTTGACATATTATTTTGGACGTAATGGCCATGGTTTGACATATTTTTTTGGATGATGTGGTAGGTATTATGGATTATGAATGAAGTTTTCTTTACTTATGGATCTTATTAGTTACTCTTATGATGTGAATGATTTTAAATAGTAATGTCGTCCAAAGTGGATTTTGGGGCATTACATAAACTACAAAGCATCTCTGACCTTTTATAGTAAACATTGAAGAGGATAAACCTTATAAGCATGAAAATTGCCAAAACAAACAACTCATCCTGAAACCATATCTAAACTACATCATAAAACAGGAGGATTGGACAATCACATTCAGCAATAGAAAAAAATGATTTTGTGTACATCTCAAAGATTTTTAGGAAAATTAACAAAAAATCATCATATGAATACTTGGAGAGCAAAACTGGAGGCGGAAAGATGGTGGGCATAAATTAGAAAAGCACTCAAGTAAAGCGAGGAGGCTATGAAAAAACCTTCTAGTGTTAAAAGCTTCCAATATCTAGTGTAATTTAGCAAAAGTTACAAGACCAAACCCTCTAGCATTTGGTCTCAAACCCTCTACACTATCATTCTCCGTGGGAAATGTAACAATTTTTTAAATGGAAACCAAACACTTAGAGATGCACTTAAAGGACATACGATAGAAGATCCATTTAGGATTATAGGAAATATAATTTCAGCACATTATGCCCCAAAAATTAGGTACACGGGAAATTCATAATAATAATAATAAAAAAAAACAACAAAATTTTTGTTGGTCATTCCAACAACCACTTGGTGTCCAAAGTGTGTGGGTTTTTTTGTGATGTGTGTTGGGTCTGTGTTGGGTGTGGGTGTGCTGGGTTTGTTTGTGTGTGTGTGGGTGATGAGTGTGTATGTGTGCGGTGTGTGTTGTGGGTGTGTGTGTGCATTGTGATATCGATCATTCTCCCTAATAGGGGTTAGTGTGTGATTGTGTGAGAGAGAGAGAGATAGAGAGAGAACAGGGATACCTGGGAGGGGTTAGCAGTGTCAGTGGTGCTGGTGGTGTTGCTAATGATGTAGCGGTGGTGCTAGTGGTGTCGCTGGGGCGTAACATAAAGAGAGAGAGAGAGGTCAAAATTTTGAATGAGTGAGAGGGAGAAAAAAAAAAGAAACAAAATATGTAGCCGGAGAGGCATGGTTCGTCTGATAGAAGGGAGGGGAAAAAAAGTAAAGACGGGTGAAGGGACTGAATATTGATTGAGAGGTTAGAATTTTGAAAAATATTGTGTGTGAAAAATGATGATTTTGAGGGAAAAATGATGATATTGTGGAGGATTTTGGATCGTTGGATGAATTGATTTGAGACCATTTGATGTTGAAGCCACTCTGTTTTATATTATAGATGTGGATTTAAATTTAATACGTCACATCACAGTAAAATAAATTATCGAATCTAAATCATCGTACCGTCCCAGGATTTTCGAACTAAAAGTCAAGCGGATCTTTTGGGGGTCGGTTTCACTGGGGTGCCGCCGTTGACCAACTAGATGCTGCACAGAGAAAACAACAGAATTATATTGGTTTGCTTTTCTGGGAGAAACTACACTTAACCCATGTCTTTTAATTTCACACTTAACCTTTATAATCTGTCATTACTTCAATGGGTAATGTGGTTTCTAAAATAACACTACCCCCATGTCTTTTAATTTCACAACATAGACAATACTCATTTTATCCTTAAATAAAAATCACTTGACTTCTAGATGGTTTATGATTATAATTTTCAAAAATCTAAGAATTAATATTTTTAATTTCCATCCTTCACACCTATCTAAACCCTTGTGTTGGGGATAAACTCTTTGAACAAGTGGTTTAGCATGTTGGTACCAATAGTTGTTCTTATTACAGAAAGACTCACTATTTATAAGTTTAAGTTTTTAGGTGGATATGAGTTTCAGACATATAAATAGCAGGTTAAAAAAACATATTTTGAATATAGGCTATTTACGAGACCAGATTAATGAGAATGAAGTTGATTTTATTTTGTAATTTTGTTAATAATAAAGATTATTGGTGGTAATTTTTGGAAGCGACGCCTCCAGTGATTTTTGGGATCTAGGGTTGCTCATTTGGGTGTTGTGTTGTAGCTTAGATGGTGTTGGTGATGATTTTGTGGGAAAGGCTCTATGTAGAAGTGTGTGTTTGTGTATGTCTATGTCTGTGTGCCTTTACGTGTATGTGTACACTTGAGAGAGAGAGAGACATAGATGTGCTGGTGAGGAGGAAAAATAGGGGAAAGGGGAAGATGTAGGGACGATGATTTTGGATTGACGTGGGTGTTGAAGTATAAATACTTAAGTTACACCCTCTCCAAGAACTTAAACTTTTGGAGTAGATGATTGTTTAACAGTTGGCACTCAGGAGAGGGGTATGAGGAGAAATTATCTAATAGAATCTTTTATTTTTTGTATGGGGTGATTAGTGGAACTCAAAATTTGTTTGGATTTTTATGGTATTTTATCTTGTGTGTTTTGGGGTAGTTTGAGAATTTTAGGAGGAAAGTTTGTTTATATTATCAAATTTTAATTGATTTTTCAACGGCAGTGAGTTATGTGTTACACAGAATTAAACCTCAAGGGATCATGATGAATTGTCTCATATCCTAGGAATTTGATTGTAATTTATTCTTTTTATTTATTTTTTCTTCCGGCTGGTAGCGTGTCGGTTGAAAGTTGAAACTATCAGTGGATAATTTAAATGTTATTGTTTGATCCCATCAACATTATTGCTTTACATTTTTTGGTTTGAAGCAATAACAATTCGACCGTAGGGCAAACAATTAACATTGAGAAATGAATGTGATGATGCACAAATTGGTTTGCACACCACCTATCAAGTAAGTAGTACAAAATACAATAAATAAGTAGAGAGAGAAAGAAGATGAGATTTATAGTGGTTCGGTCAACGTGATTTACGTCCACTTTGAATGGCAAGGGTTGCTGGGTATTTTATTAACTCAACTGTGTAGGGAGAGTTGAGAATTACAATCTTAGAGAGGGAGATGAGAGTTGTGCTTGATTTAGTATGATGATCCCCCCAAGTGTTGGAGGGACTTATAATTTATAGTTGTCTCATAACGTATAGTAATTGAATAGCTAGTCTGGTGGTCATAACGGATTGAGGTGATTTAATAATAATTAAATAGCTAATTCGGCGAGGGTGGCAACCTCTTCTCAATAGGCGAGGCAATTACAATACTCTCCATAAGACTCGGTCAAAGGATGAGGTGAGAGTTGACTCTTACTCCAGGTTGGCTAGGAGGAGGCTCTTCAATGACCCTTACTCCAAGGTGGCTAGGAGGAAGCTCTTAGATGACTCTTACTCCAATGTGTCTAGGAGGAGGCTCTTGGATGACCTTGTGTGCTCCTTGCTAATATAACTTCTTGAGCTTGATGAGCTTAACTGAGTTGACCACATTAGGCAGGACTTAGCGGATCTCTTGGAGTTGGGCCATTAATTTAGACCAGGCTTATAACATGAGTTGGACCTTTAGGCCTGGTTCATTATTTGCCCCTCAATGCCCTTTGTCTAACAGAAATTGAAAATGAGAGCATTTAGTTTTAGTTTGAATTTTTGGTTGACCGGCATAACTGAAAAAAACTCCTAGAGGCCAAAACCTGTGCTTCTAGGCCTTTTCTTGAGCTTTTAATAGCATAAGTCATAGCTAAAGACTGTGAATCTTGTAGAAATCGCCGAGAGCTTCGATTTGATATATTATGAGCCCCATTTGGAGCAACGGAGCAAAAATTATGGTCAAAATAGCGAGCAGGCGGCTGGGTGCGCAGTTTTGGGCGAGCAGGCGGCTGGGTGCGCAGTTTTGGGCGAGCAGCCAACTTTTGGGTGAGCAGACTGTGTTCTAGGAAAGCAGACAGTGTTTTGGGCGAGCAACTGATTTTTTTTTTTAAAACTTCGGGTGGTCAAAACAGCTATTTCTGAGCCTTTTTTGGACTTTTTATAATGCCTTTTATTGCCATGGGCAGTGAGTTTTATAGGGTTCGCTGAGAGCTTCGATTGATATATAATAAACCCCATTTGGAGTTTTGAATCAAAAGTTACGGTCAAAATAACGTGCAATCCTTTTAAATCCGAATTTTTTGAAAACTCCTCTTGATCAGCGACCCCCTCCTTTTTAGTTGACTTCTTTTGCTTGTAGGACTCTATTGACTATATAGACTTCCTCATTCCTTTCATTTTTTGGATTATTGAAAAGCCCTATGTTGTAATTTTGGGCTTATTGTTTCTTCAATAGGATTTTAAAACCCTAACTACAAATAAAACCTTCCTTCTTCATTCTACCCAATTCATTCATCTTGGGATAGAACTCCTTCTTGAAACCCTTTGCGAGCTCAAGATTTGAGATCTTCTTTTTTGAGATTAGTTTTCAGAAATCAATGTCGAGCAAAGGAGGAGAAACCGTCGATATCCATGGTGCCAAGCTGGTCGGGCTTGATGTGGTGAAGAACTGCGTAGGTGAGGCAACCCAAGTGCCTAGAGCCAAGGAGATGGCGACCAAAGAGTTGGGCGCCGATGACGAGGCGTCGCCAAGGTTGGGCGCCGTTGAGGAGGGAACCCGCCTCATGGGCGCCGCTAGGTAGAGGTCGCTTGGGGCCTTGCTAATTGGAACAAGCGCGCGAACAGAGGAGCTTTTGGAGGCCTTGGGCGAGCATGCCAATAAGCTGGGCGCCCCTTTGGAGATTTTGGGCTAGCTTCCTAGGAAGGTGGGTGTTGCTGGGCTTGGGTACGTAGAGGCTTGCACTGATGGACGTCTAGGCGTTATGCGCATGGATGAGGCGAACAATAGAGGGTGCTCAGTTACTGATCTTGGCATGCTAGGCAAGCAGCTTATGGAGGAGGGGCGAGCTGTCCTGGGCGTGCAGCCTGCTAAGGCGCCTATAGCGCTCACTGGGATGCCTTAGGTGGTAGACAACATCCTTGAAGCGCCTATGGCGCTGGGTCCTGCTCGAGGAACGTCCATAGGGCTGGGCGTTGCCCTGCTGGCAGACGACTTTGCTGATAGCTATGGAGGAGCATTGTTTGGGGACAAGCGCAGGCAGAGCTTGTTTGAGCTAGGTGTTAAGCGCGAGGGAGTTGCGGTAACGAGGCGGCGGTGTCTCTTGGACACAAAAGAATGAGGTCCGATTATTGACATTCAATTTAATGTAGTCCTTCGGGTTGTAGACGACTTGAGTTTCAAGAGCTTGGCTAGAGATGACAAAAATAATGTTATTCTAAATATTAAAATACCTAGCATAATTACCTGGAGATAAAGATAGGCTGCTTGTGCGAGAGCAAATACAGAGTTTGAGGATTGCTCGTGAGAGAGCTACACTTTTTGAGACCGAGCTTTTGGCGACTCATGAGAGATTCTTTAAGCTTGAGATGTAGGCTATTTACTTGAGAGCAGAGTAGAGACCAAACTTTTGGCGACCCGTGAGAGAACTGCTCAGCTGGAGATAGGTTGTCTGCTTAAAACAGAGCATAGGCCAATCTTTTGGCGACCTGTAAGAGAGCCACTAAGCTGGATATATAGGTTGTCTACTTGAGAGCTGTGTAGAGGCCAAGCTTTTGGCGACTCGTGAGAAAGTCGCTCTGTTGGAGATAGACTGCTTGCTTGAGAGCAGAACCGAGGCCTCGGGTGTATCTGTGGACCCGGAGAAGGTTGAGGCAGTCGTGAATTGGGAAAGACCAAAGTCAGTTTTTGAGATTCGCAGTTTCTTGGAATTGGAGGGGTATTACTGGAGGTTCATTGAGGACTTCTCCCGACTAGCTGTACCTATGACCAAGTTGAACCGAAAAGAGGTCAATTTTGAGTGGAATGATGCGTGTGAGAAGGCAGTCCAGGAGTTGAAGCGGAGACTTACTTCTGCTCCTATTTTGATAGTCCCAGAAAGGGGGGACAGAGGGTATACAATATACTTTGATACCTCTAAGGACGGATTTGGATGTGTTTTGATGCAGTCCAGAAGGATGGTGGCTTATGGTTCTCGGCAGTTAAAGAACCACGAGCAGAATTACTCCACACATGACATGGAGTTGGCGCTCATTGGCTTTGCCTTGAAGGCTTGGCGCCACTACCTATACGGTGAGCAATTTGAGGCGTTTTCAGACCACAAAACTCTGAAGTACATCTTTACACAACAAGACCTCAACATGAGGCAACGTAGATGGATGGAGTTTTTGGAGGACTACGACTTCACTTTGCATTACCATCACGGTAAGGCAAATGTGGTGGTTGATGCATTCAGCCTGAAGTCACAGGGAGTCTTGGCTAGTGTGGCAGATGCTCGAGCCTGTGGGACAGTTCGGGCTAAGTTACATGGGACAGGCTCAGGGTACTTTAGAGAGTTTGGTGGTTACACCTTCCCTACTGAGCAGAGTCATCGAGTCCCAGAGGCAGGATATAGAGATATTGTCCATTAAGGACCGAGTACAGTCGGGGACAGGTGATGAGGGCTGGACCATTCACTCGGATGATAGTCTTCGATTTAGGAGAAGGATTGTAGTTCCCCCGTTTGCAGAGTTGAGAGAGGAGATCCTTAGGGAGTTCCATTGTTCCCGATTTGCTGTGCATCCAGGTGGTACAAAGATGTACCATGATTTTCATTGCCAGTACTATTAGAACGGGATGAAGAAAGACGTTGAAAATTTTGTTAGCCGATGTCTCACGTGTCAACAGGTGAAAATTGAACACTAGAGACCAGCAGAGTTACTCCAGCCCTTAGAGGTAGCTGAGTGGAAGTGGGAACATGTCACGATGAATTTTGTGACCCACTTGCCATAGACATCGTGGGGATATGACGTAGTGTGGGTGATAGTGGACCGGCTTACGAAGTCGACACACTTTTTGGATGTTCGAATGACCTTCACATTGGAGGAATTATGCGGTTGTATATACAGGAGATTGTCCGATTGCATGGAGTGCCCATATCTATAGTATCGGATCGGGATCCTAGGTTTACGACTAATTTTTTAGAGAGTTTCTAGCGAGCTATGGGGACACGGTTGATGATGAGCATTGTTTTTCATCCCTAGACGGACAGTCAGTCTAAAAGGACCATCTAGACATTAGAGGACATATTACGGATATGCATCCTAGATCTCAAGGGTAGTTAGGAAGATCATCTACCTTTAGTGGAGTTCGCCTACAACAAAAGTTACTAGGCAAGTATACAGATGGCATCCTATGAGGCACTATATGAGAGGTCATGTTGTTCTCCGGTTTGTTGGACTGAGGTAGGAGAGAGAACCTCTACTAGTTCAGAATTGGTTAGAGACACCTCGGAGAAGGTGCACTTGATTCGAAAGCGTCTTTTCACGGCTCAAAGTCGACAGAAGAGCTACACCAATAGACAGGGAAGACCTCTAAAGTTTGAGGTGGGAGATCATGTTTTTTTGAAGACGATGCCTAAGAGATGAGTGGTCAAGTTTGGTAAGCGGAGAAAGTTGTCGCCAAAGTATATCGGACCCTACGAGGTACTCGAGAGGGTGGGTGCAGTGGCTTACCGATTGGCGTTACCGCCAAGCCTATCTGGTATTCATGCAGTATTTCATGTCTCTATGCTCCGGAAGTATACCCTAGATCCGACACATGTGGTGGATTGGAGTGAGTTGACTGTTGATGTTGATGAGACTTTCAAGGAGGGATCGATGCGCATAATGGATAGTCAGGATCAGGTTTTACGAGGTAAAACCGTGAGGCTAGTGAAGGTATTATGGCAGCACCAATGAGTGGAGGAGGCGACATTGGAGCGCGAGGACACTATCCGTACCAGTTATCCTTTCTCATTCGAGGATGGAGGTACATTATTATAGTTTTAAGTATAACATACTTGTCGCATATGCATGTGGTTAAATGTGTATGTGTGTGTGAATTTCGGAGACGAAATTCTTTTAAGGGGGAAAAATGTAAAACCAGAGAAAATTTGAACTTTTTATGAAAAATGGCAAAATGGTAATTTGTCACTATAATGCGGGCTTAAAATCTATATTTTTTAGAGCTTGGATGACGCAACGGACCTCACCGTTGGATTCGTATCGCGAAATCGAGCTGCCCTGTTAATTATCGTCGAATTCTGAGATATTCAAATTTTGCATGTTTTGCGAGACAATTAGGTGACGAATGACCTTTCAAAGGTCTCCAAAAATAAAATTTATAAAATTTTCTTATAATTGAATAAAAATTTAAATAAAATTAATTTGAACTTAAACCGGGATGAAATGAATCATTTCGGGATAAAAAATGGACCCAAAAATAGTAAATGTGTGGGGAGATATGGACCACGCAATTAAAAGTATAAATAGGGGCAAATATCTGAAAAATCAGATATTTTTCCACCCTTGGCCGGCTGTATCAGACGTTTGACAGAGAGAAGAGAGAAAAGAGGAAAAATCAATTTTCTTCAAGTTTTCTCCTTCGATTCTCGGAGTTCTGTCTGTCGGAATCCATCGAGCCAAGAGTTAAAGTCGATCACATCGACGAGGGCTACGCAACCACACTAAGAACGAAGGATTTCACTGATGATCCAATTGGGAGATTTTGAGGAAATCAAGTTTTTGAGGTTTTGGTTGGTGTTCTTGAAGTTCTAGCCTCCGATTTACGCTTCAAGAGATAGGGTTCCGTCCTACTCTGGTTCATTTCTAGCCTATAGTGTTCATAAGGGGCTGTTATGTAGGCTATTTTATGAACTATTTTGTGGACTGTTTTGGGACTGTTTCGGGGCTGTTATGTGGCCTGTTTTGGGGCTGTTATGCGGCCTATTTTTGGGCTGTTATGTGGGCATATTATGTTTCTATATAAATTATGTCTTGTATGGGGATTTGATAAATGACTTGAATGATTGAAGTTTCATTTTGATGAAATTGAAATAACATGCTTGGATATTATGGTGTGTTGAAATCATATGCTTATGAGGTGATTTACATTGAAAATGTTAGTGTTGAAATGTGATAGAAATAATCCATATGACATTCATCACACATGAATATGTTATGGCTATTGAAATTGCTCATTTGGCATCCTTTCATTTTGGGCATGAGGTTGGCATCACATTCATGGGCTTAAGCATGAGTGTGGGTGTGTATGCATAGTTTAATCAAACACTACTCTTGGTGATTGATATGTGGACTTGAAAATGTGGGATTGAAGATCCAAGGGAGTCACATGATTGCATAAGAAAAATTTGTGTCGAGTATAGTAAGAAGGGCTAGACACTCCCTCGGGTGAAAAACCCGGCTACTTGGTTCATACACTTTCCTGAGGTGAAATTTCATAAAAGTGTAATGGCATACAGAGTTAGTCGGTATGATTCCAAAATTCGATACCCAACAAATACGCATGATTTTGTACTATAAAGTATTCATTCGAAGGAAAACATCAAAAAATGAGTTGGTTTGATAAACACATAGTTTGTATTTCAAAAATGATCATTGGATGTATTTCTTCAATGATAAAGGTTTTTACACATGCATTGCATTGTGTGATGGAAGTCGGTGAAGGCTCGGGTGGATATGCGTTAGTGAGTCTTATCTCATTTCATAGCGTGACATGGTGAAATTCTAACATAAAATTTTATATTTTGTTTGGAATGTTGTTTGGTATGAATGTTAAATGTAAATATTGCATATGCACTTAGGTGGAGAGTAGCCTCTATAGGAATAACTTTACTGGACGTTAGCTAACCCTATACGAGAAAACATTTTCAGGTGCGGGATACACACCGGTGGAAGGCTCCCAATTTGAGCTCCATTGATGAAAAAAGTCAGAATGTGGCTTTTGTTTTGAAATTTTGTAAAAATTTTGTTTTTGAACGTGTAATTATATGGAATTACTTGCAATGAAACTTGTATATATAGAGTTTTATTGTGAAAAACTATGTTTTTACAAAACATTCACTAAGTTAGTTTTTGAACTATTTTAATGAAATGTTGCATGCTATTATATGTTTACTGTCAAATAGACCCGGTGTGGTCAATGTTTACTTTTAAATAAACTCGGTATGGTCAATATTATATATTGGACTTCGGATGGGTCATATGATTGTTTGATGCACAAGTTGTATTTTGGGTAGAGTTTTTTGTACAAAAGAGACTCTGCCCAAATTTTGTTAAATTAAGAACCCCTGATTTTTGGAGTGTCACAATGACTTTGTCATTGGGCTCCTCGATTTGGAGGACCTCCTCATTAAAACGAGTGAGGTAACTCCTCAAACTCTCGTCTCGACATCCACCAATAAACGGTGTCACAAATGATCTGCTCATTTTGGCGAAGGAGCCTATGGAGGCCAAGGTGAGTTTGGCAAACCATTGTCGCACTGATCCCTTCAAGGTAGTTGGAAATTCACTACACATAATTTCATCAGGACGTTGTGCAGCTGCATTAAGGTCTTGTAAGTTTCGAGGTGATCAAGTGGGTCTTTTGTGCCATCAAACGCTTCCACCAATGGCATTGTAAATTTCTAGGGAAGTGGGTAGTTTGCCACATTGGCTACAAAAGGCTTGTGTGTTTGCCTTATGAGGTAGTACACAGTCTTGAGTCCTTGTGCCTTCATGGCATTGAAGACGTCGTCTAGTTGATTCTGTACCTCTTTGATTTTTTTGTTCTAGTGGTTAGGAGGTCCTTTGGAATTATTATGAAAATGGCTCTCATGCTCCATGTTTTGGTTTTCACCCTCATACTCTTGAAAATTAGGGTCTCCACAGTGAAAAACAGGAGTTGGAGGAGGAGATGAAGGTCCTTCATGGTGGGCCCCCCTATGTGGGGCACCCAAGGGAACTCCCAAAAGTGGGACGCCCAGATAGGGAGCACCTAGGTGGGGAGCTCTTTGATGACTAGGGCATGGAGCTCCTCTGACTTAAGGTCCAGGCTGTGCTCCTCCTTGTTGTCCGAGCATCAGTTGCAGGATTTGTTGATTTTGGGCTACGAGTTGTTGCATTGTCTCAAGCATCTGTTGTGCATTTCGAACAAGATTGGTTGGTGGAGGAGCAACCTCTTCCTCTCGTGCTGGATTGTCTTCAAGCTGATTCATGGATCTAGTGGTGATTGCCATTTGTACGACAAGAAAGTAATTATGTTAAAATTTTGTCGTTCTCATAGACGGCGTCAAACTGATGATGCACAAATTGGTTTGCACACCACCTGTCAAGTAAGTAGTGTAAAATATGGTAACTAAGTAGAGGGAGAGAGAAAATAAGGATTATAGTGGTTCGATCAACATAACCTACATTCACTTTGAATGGCAAGGATCGTCGGGTATTTTTATTGACTCAAGTATGTAGGGAGAGCTGAGAGTTACAAGCTTAGAGAGGGAGAGGAGAGATGTGCTTGACTGAGTATGATGATGCCCACCAAGTGTTGGTAGGACTTACAATTTATAGTCACCTCATAAAACATAGTAATTGAATAGCTAGTCTGGCGGTCATAACGGATTGAGGTGATTTAATAGTAATTAAATAGTTGATCCGACAGAGGTGGCGACCTCTTCTCAACGGGTGAGACAGTTACAATACTTTTCATAGGACTCAGTCAAAGGATGAGGTGAGGGTTGACTCTTACTCTAGGTTGGCTAGGAGAAGGTTCTTGGATGACCCTTACTCTAAGGTGGCTAGGAGAAGGCTCTTGGATGACCTTTACTCTAATGTGACTAGGGGGAGGCTCTTGAATGACCTTGTGTTCTCCCTACTAATGTAGCTCCTTGAGCTTGACCTGGTTGACCACATTAGGCTGGACTTGGCAGATCTCTTGGAGTTGGGCTATTAATTTAGACCAGACTTATAACATGAGTTGAGTCATTGGGCTTGATCCATCAGAATGAGAGACAATATTTTAAGTTTTTGATTCAACCAAGTTTAGAGAATTTTAGTCTTAAAATTGTGAGGGTTTTATTAGCTTGGTTTGCATGTTGTTTTGTGATTTTGAATATTGGTAGTGGGTAGTTGTGCAATGCTGGTTGAAAGTTGAAATTGTTGGGTTGTGAGAACTAAATGTGTGTAATTATTTGTTTATTAGGGGTAATTCGTACCTGAAAACACAGTTTAACGTAAGTGAGAAATGATGAATTTTGGAGCAGAGAAATTCAATGTGAATAATTTTGAAAGGAATATTGGTGGCAGTTAGATAAGTCTATTTGAGACCGTCGGATGAACTTATTGAAATCTGTCATATTTTATATTATAGATTTGACACAAATAAAAGCAAATTCTATAATTTTTAATTTTCTTACAAATTCTATATTTTATTCATTTTTGACTATATATTCCATAATTTTTGAACCAAAGGAGGTTCTAACAAATCATACCATACTCTAAGGAATCAATTTTAGTTTGCTAATTTTAAGATATTCGGTATGTACTTTTTTTTTTGTTTTTTTGTTCTAGTACCCAATTTATTTGACCAAATTAATTTTATTTATCATAAATCCTTACAGTGGGCTTTATTAAGAATATCAAAAAAAATATATAAAACACATATAACTAAAAAAAAAAAAAAATCAGGGCCCTCCTTCCTTTGCCACTATCAAAGAGAGAAAGGGAGAGAGTGAGAAGAGGAAGGTAAAATTCAATCTGAATGATTTTGAGAGAAATGTTTGTGGCAGTTAGATGAGTTTATTTAAGACTGTCGGATGAATTTATTGAAATATTTCCTATTTTATATTATAGAATCCACGAAATATGATAGAATTGACTTTAAAAAAAATTAATTTATATACATGTAATTAAAATCAAGTCAAATCTAATATAAACTAAAAATCTAATTAATCAAAAAACATATAGCTAAAATATTTTCTATCAAAAAAACTTCTACAAATATCATTTATAAAATATCATTTTTTTAATTAGTACAAGATATTACAAAATTATTGATTTATAAGAATATATTAGCATTGAGTTTTCTTAAGAGATAAAAAAAAATTAGTCTTGAAATGATAATTCAAGATATGTGTAAAACATGTTAGTTTGAGATAATTAATTAAATAAATAAAATTAAAATTCATTATATTCAATATAAATGTGCTAAGCAGCGCCCTTTTTTTTATCTGTTAAATTAATGAGCTTTTTTTTAATCAAAATGTTATCATTGTGTCTTATAAAAATTTAAAATATTATACTACACATATGATATTAATGACAAATTAAACCCATTTAATTATTATGTCAAAGAAAATCATGTGTTTCAAGATCAGCCGTAATCGTTGACTAGTTAAGGGGAAAATATAAAGGAAAAAATGATAATTTTTTGACCGTTAGATAAATGAATTTGAGATCATAGAATGTGATTCAAAATCGACCGTAATCGTTGACCGATTGGAGTGAAAATATTAAGGAAAACAAAGTGTAATTTCTTCACTGTTGGATGAATGAATTTGAGACTATAGGATGAATTTGTTGAAGTCGTCCTATTTTATATTAGAGATTATAGATTTGTCGGTGATTTTTCTGGGTGTTAAGTTGTTGGAATATTTGGTATTACAAAGGAAATTAGATGAGGGTATTTTAATCTTGCAAAAATGTTAGGTCTGTCACAATTTGCACTTTATTTATAAATAAGAGGGGATTAATTCCAATCCATAATTGTTGAAGAAGGTGATGTTCAGCTTTAAGTTAAGGGATACTTAATTTACCCTAAGTTTAATCATCTAACACCCCATTCAAAAAAAAAAAAAATCATCTAACACATTAGGGGGTTGTTTGGTTGATTTTTTGGGAGAATGTTAGATTGACTTGTTTAAATCCTTTCAAATTCAAATTCATTTTTACAAAGATAATATTCAACATTCAATCATGTTTATACCCATATTTGATATGTGAATGAATATATTATTATTATTATTATAATATATTTATATTTAAATGACTATTGTCCTCTTAACTAATCTAATTTAAACTCATGTTTGAATAGGGTTATATAGGGATATAAATATTATTTTGTATGTTTAACTCTTTAACTCCCGTATAAAATTCACCCCCATCGGATTTCACAATACCCATAAACTTGGTTTTAAATTACGGGTCTAAAGGAGACTAGAATTGATAACCTGAACTAGAAATTTAATTCCCAAACAGGGTTTTGCAGATTTTTTTTTCTCCGATCTATCTTCCAAATTTCCCTCGTCTCACTTACCATACAGGCCTTACGAGACCTGACACAACAAAGACTTGTAGAGAAAAGTAAAGTGGGGTGTACTCCCAACATGCCTCATCTGCATGACATGTGTGAGTTAGAGATAATCTTATCTTAAATAACCATTATTCCGTTTTTTTTTTTTTTTGAGCAGCTTTTATTCCGTTGTTCGACACAAACTTTCGTGCCATTACATTGACCTTTTGAGAAAAGCTCTCAATGGCAACGCCAAAACCGGCACCGGACCAGCAAACTAAGAAACTTCAAGTCTACCTCACTCCGGTGCTATTTCAAGCCATTCTTCTGTTGCTCCTCTCCGACACCATTGTCTTTCAGTCCATCATCAAGACTCTACCTGGCTTTCCCAGTGATCTTCCATTTGAACTTGAAACAGGGTAGGTTCTATCCGCTCTCTCATTTTAATCCTCTTAGACAGTTCTTCAAACAGTTATCAGTCACCAAGGTACTGTCCCACTAACGAACATTTTGGGTTTGAAGTTACATTGGTGTAGGAGAGAGAGATGAAGTGCAGTTATTCTACTATTTCCTTGAATCAGAAAGGAATCCAAGAGATGACCATCTTATACTTTGGATGGCGGGTGGCCCTGGTTGTTCTTCTCTTTTTTCCTTCTTCTATGAAATCGGTACGTTTCGAAATTCTTAAATCTCATCTATGAGTATAAGCAGTTGGGTTTAAGACGATCTATTTTAAAGTAAGCCTGACAGATTTGTCATCCAAAATCAAATCTTTTAATTTCATGTCGATTTTCATATTCGCAGATCATGTCGAGAATTGTCTGGCGGTAGTTCTCGATGGTGGCAATGTTTTGAGATGTCTCTGGTGTGGTGTTGGGTAGTGGTAGTGGTAGGTATGCGGTGTGGGCTGTTTGTTGACCCTCAAAATTGAGCAGTGTTATATTTATTAAATTTTGTATACCAGATCATTATAGGTGGTTCGATTAGAGGTCTGCTTGATTCTCATTAAATATTTAATGCATAAGTTTTTTTTTAGTCCAACAATTAGGGATGTACAAACCATCTATTGCAAATTTTAACTAATTTCCTCCTTGGTCAGATAAAACGCAGATCATTTACGTCAGAATTAGAGGATTTATGAAGGATAAATTCTTCGTGACGTAACTCAAAGAGTTGTTAAGATTCGAATTCATGACATCTGGATTTACAAGTCGTTCCAGGTACCACTTGAGTTATTGCTTAAGAGTAATGCATAGAATTTTACTTTATCATTAGGATTCAAATTAATCCAAATAGGGAATTAATCTCTGGTGTGGTGCTATGTTTGTCAAAATACTTTTACCGAAAAATTTACCAAATGAACATGGATAGTATAGCAATTAATGAGTTGAATGCAAAAATATAGCAATTAAAAACAATGTGAAAAACCCTAACCACGTTAGTAGCCGCAGAGGTGCGGCATCGTTTTGGTGCAAAATGACATTGTTTTGATAAGCCGTACCTCGTCGGACTCCAATTAAGAGTCTATGCTTATAATTTTTTTTTCTTTTGCTTTTTCTAACAAATAACTGATCCCAAAATAATTAGAACAAGGCTCAATTGATTTGAGTTGAGTTGAGTAAAGTTTTTATTCTCCACCAAGTATTTTACTATATTACACTTGTGGAGTGTGGCCATTCCCGGCGGTACATGTCTGTTTCTTCTGGATGTATAACGTTTTCTGGCAGATGTCTTTGAGGGTTATCTTTCCAATAGTATTACTGTTTTTCTTTTCTTTGTAGGACCTCTTTAATTCAATTTTACATTGAACCCTTCAAATTCCGGGGAAAGCAAACCAACATTGGAATTGAACCCATACTCTTGGACAAAGGTATAAGCGAGACCATTTACCGCACCTCAAATTCGAAACCAAAAATAGTTGGTGATCAACAAAGTGCCTTCTTTTTTTTTCCCACCTGCCGAAAACGTGATCGGAATCGAAGTTTCTTGTACACTGCTGTTTAGTTATAGTAGAATATGAATTTGTCAAGTTATGAAAAGTGATTACGACATTGTAGGTAGCCAACATAATATTTATAGATCAACCTGCTGGTTGTGGATTCTCGTATGCGAAAACATGGGAAACTTACAACAGCAACGACACGAGATCAGGATCACTAACGTATGATTTTCTTAGAAAGGTGAGAGCAACTCTTAAATTACTAAAACCATTATATTTATTTCGATAATATACTTACGGTGAATAATTGTTTCTTCATTTTGGCATATGATACAGTGGCTTGTGGATCACCCCAAGTTTCTGAACAATCCACTATACATCTGTGGTATCTCCTATATTGGCATTGTTGTTCCAATCATTGTTCAGGAGATATACAATGGTATGGTCATGGAGATTCCATTTATCTTCAAGCTATGCTGCATTTGAGTATCAGAGGAAAACAAAATTTTAAGCGACAGAACAGAAACTTTAAAACACATTAGCCAGCATTCCAATTTTCCTTTTTATTCATCTCTGTCTAAACTTCCATAGATAAAATCCTATTTAGTTTCCATCTTAGAAATTGTTTTTTTAATTTTCGGAAACAGTTTCTGAGATAAAAGTTGTTTAGCCCCTTTTTTTTGTTTTTATTTTTTTGAAAACTAAGAATAAAAAGTGGGTATATTGAGAACAAGTTAAAGTTTTTTTTGTGTAATTTTAGAAACAACATTTCCAGAATTTAGAAAACATCAACACCACTCTTCCACCACCACCACTACATTTTATTTTTTATTGCGTAAAATTGTTTTTAAAATTATATAACCAAATACATTCTACGACAAAAAATACCAAAACACATTTCTCTAAAAATAATTTTCGGATACTTTTTTTGTGATGCAAACCAAACAGGACCAAGTTTTTCCTTGAGCAAGGTTTGGCTTATTTCGTTGATTTTCATTCTTTTTCCTACTTTTTTTTCGCTTTGTATGTGTAGGTAATGATGCTGGAAAGGAGCCAAGAATGAATATTAAAGTAAATGATTACACTGAACATCTTGACTGGGCTGTGTTACTTTTTCTTCCATGCTTATTCACCATCTATTTTTATTGTGTATTCTGCACTACATTGAATTTAACTTTCTCTGAATTGGATTCAGGGATACATTCTTTTCAACCCTCTAACCGATAAAAATAGTGACTTTAATTCAAGAGTCCCATATGCTCATCGTATGACACTTCTATCAGATGAACTCTATGAGGTAAGTTCTTGACTTCTAAACACCCTCTAATTAGGGGTGTAAAAATATAATACGACTCGTTAACATGATGAGAACACAACACGAAATTATAAGGTTTGGATCTTTTTTAAGCTACCCGTTTTTTAAACTGGTGAACCCGACTCAACACAATTAATAAACGAATTGAGTATGAGTGAAGTCAATCAAAAGGAATATACAACACGACTCGTTCATATACCGGTTATATATAATTTATACACGACGTGAATTCGATATAACACGATTCGTTAGACACGAAATAATAGACAAATAAGGTATAGGTGGAGTATTATTTGACACAAAACTGCTAAGACCCGACACGTGCGTTTAATTTATATACGTTATGTTTTGTGGATTTCAGTCAACTAAATCAAATTGCCAGGGTGTGTGCATAGCAGTAGACCCCGACAACAGATTATGTGCAAGTGATCTTGAAGTAGTAAACGAGGTAATCGGCAGAAATAGTTCTAATCAACTTAATTTTCATAACATGTGTTTTCATATTGAATATTTTTAGGTGTTAAAAAGATCCATCATTTGATTGCAGTATGTCGAGAAAATTTATTTTGATCAAATTTTAGATCCTATTTGTCTTACTACAATTTCAAAACTGAATTTGCTGAGAACGTACAGAAGCTCTCTTGAGGATAATCCCATTGATATCATCACGTCGCTACCTCGACTTTCAGAACCATGGTGTCGAGTAATCCCCCTCTCACCAATATAGTTATTGGTTTGTCATCTTCTAAATTACAAAACTATTATATTAACTTGGTTATCTGTCGTTTTTTTTTATAGAACAATACTTATAAAGCCGCTGCCGTTTGGGCTAATGATAAAGCTGTACAAAATGCTCTTCACATTCATGAGGTACGTGTATATAATCTAACGAGCATTAATGTTCATATTGGATTCATTTCATCAATCAACATGTTTATGCTCATCAGGGGACTGTAAAAGAGTGGGTGCGATGCAACAAGAGCATACAATACTCAATTGGTTTAAGTGAGACTGTGTCTTACACATTTAATATCCTTAGCTTTGTTGACTATCATCGAAATCTAACAAACAAAAAGTGTCAAACTTTAATAGCCTAGGTAATTCTATCCCAAAAACGGTCTTTATTACTGTTTTTGTTGTCATCCCACTACAAAGTTCATCCATTGGTAACCTATAGTGCAATACTTTCCAAAAACATAAACTAAATGGAACTTGCAATTGAATACTAGAAATCTTAGTCATACTAATAGAATTTCATTCATAGTATTGTGTATTCCTATGGTTTGAACGATCCAAAAACTATGGTCATACACCCAAATAATGTCCACCCCCCCCCCCCCCCCTTTTTCAAAGAAAAACAAGTTTATTCTAACATCTAAGTTTTTATAGTCTTCCAAAAGCGGCGATCATGACATGGTGATTCCACATCTGGGTACAGAGAAATGGATACGTTCTCTAAATCTGACCGTTGAAAATGGTTGGGAGCCATGGTTTGTTGAAGGTCAAGTAGCAGGGTGTGTTCCTAAACTTCTAAACATTTTTGCAACATAAATTTGAGCAACTTTAAATTTTTTATAATCAAATGTTCCTCTACAAGCGATTATAATGTCGATGTACTGTGATATTATTGTTTTATGTAGATATACAGTCTCCTATATACACAACGACTACTCGTTGAGATACGCAACTGCAAAGGCATGGAATCTTGTGCTAAATTTTTTTTCTTTCTAGTTATGAATCCACAAAGTGCAAAATTGAATTTAATTATGTCCACATACTTTGTATAGGGAGCGGATCATACAGGTCCAGAGCACAAACCTAAAGAATATCTAGCCATGGTTGATCGGTGGTTTGCTTATTGTCCTCTCTAATTGCCGGTAGCAGCTCCAAATCAATTCAATAACTGTTTCTTACCAAATCTTTGCAGTTTTTGTACCAAGTAATAGTAGCATTTGTTAGGAAAGCATTGCTAGCGATTGTCTCGTTTTTCCTTCATGCTTGCTAGGATCAAAATTATGTTTTATTCCCCACCAGATGATAAATATTTCAGTTAAGTATAGGTAGTTTGAATATGAACCAACACAACTCTTGAAGCAGTTGTGATTGTACCGACAGTTACAATCTTTTTATAGGGTGTCTATTCATCTAAATGAGTGCCTTAAATACAAGTAAATAAGAGCCTTAAGGAATGTGTCAAATACATACTTATCCTTATGACACTATGTTGATTTTTCTTCGTGTTTGCATCACTTTGATTTTCTCTATCAAGAGCACTGCAAATATTGTTTCACCCGTTTAGGACCAATAGTGGTATCTGAGCAAGATTTTGTGTCCCAAAGAGTTTGGTCGAAATTTTCTTTCAGTGTATTATTTTTGTCTCTTTAAAAGTAAAAAAAATAATTGGTCTATTCAAAAACATGAAAATAGATAAAAAAAAAATTATGAATCTATTTCAAAAATATTTTAAAATATTATCAAAATATACTAAAACATCTTAAAACAGTTAAAAATATTTTGAAATATTGGCAAAAATATGACGAAACATCTAGAAACAATACCGTCAAACATCGTGAATCATTAGAATTTCAATTCAATCACTTTGTGATCTTTTCAAAAATGGAAATATTTTGACTGTTTTGAATGTTTCAAAACAAAATTTTGATCTTCTTTCTATCTCAAAGTGCCAAGGAAGAAAATCCCTGCCTCTTTTTCTCTTCTCCCACCACGTCTCGTTATTGTTTTGGTTTATTTGGTTAGAGAATATGTATTCGAACCATTTAAAAAAAAATGGAAAATTGGTTTTGAAACATTTCCCAATGGTCAAAACACCTTGAATAACATTGGCTAAAACCTTAGAAACATAAAAATTTCAATCTTTAATGTCAATATTTCGTTTCAATTTTCACTATGAAAAATTAACCATCAATCATTACATCTATATAATAAAACAGAATACAACTTAAATCTTATACCCATTATATTCCCCCCCCCCCCCCCAAAATTAACCCAACCCAACGGCTCTCTGCAAAAAAATAGAGCAACCTCTCTCCTCTCTCACTTCTCTCAGGCGTTCACTTCCCCGAATCACCCTCTGCGCAAACACCCCCCCCACCTTCCCTCTTCTGCGCAAACACCTCCTCTCCCTCTCTCGCATCAGATCCCTCTTTTGTGCCGCTGTCCAAAGCCACAGATCTCTTTGCTCAATCTCTGGTGGAGTAGGAGGACTCATCTGTCCATAGTCTTTAATCACACTCACAGGGCCACAACGACGCCATTGATTCCAGCAACCACCGCCAACGATTCCACCAGGTCTCCCTCTCTTTCTCTCTCTCCACCATAAAACCACGCAACAGCCACCAACACACCCCCACAATAATGCACATCAACTGTTTGTAAAAATTCCTGAACGCACCACTCCACACCACCCCCACACCTGCCTGTGTTATTTCAGTGTGCATATGTGATTGTTCTTTTGTGTGTCGGGCTTAGGATGCTGAGGTTTTAAGGTTCCTGTTGATCTTGATAGGTTAGACAGCGAAAGGTTGAGCCAAAAGGGGTCGACTATGTTCCAGGTACGTTTTGGTGACTTCTGTTAATCTGACCTTCCCTTGCCTGATAAGAAGACTTTTGTTACCTTTTTGGTTAGAGCATTTTTTCAGTGTTCAATTGATTTGGTTTGGTTATGGCAGGAAAGACTCATCTGTAAGCATTTTTCCAGTTGACCTGAACATTTTGTTTGTGTTTATTTTCTTGAAATTGTTTATTGTGGCAACCTTTTTAGTTGAATTAGTTTAAACTCCATGCAAATTATTTTTGATTGATTTCTTTCCACGGATATTATTTTTAGTTGATATGATTTGTTTGACTATTGGGTTTGTTGCTATGATGTTTCCCTTACAGAATTACATAAGTTTATTATTTAACCCTGAACTTATATGATGTGATAGAATACAATTTTTAAAGTGTTCATTTGGCTTTAAGATGGTGACTTCTCTATGTGAAAGTTCTATACTTTGTCAATTGTGAGTGTTAGGTTAAAGTGTTCTTAGTGTGTGTAAAGGGAGGAGGAAGACGAGAAAAGATAGATGATCTACAACATTTTTAACTTTAAAACATATTTTTATTGAGAGAACAAAGATGTTGTACTACTAGCTGTGGCAGAGTGCTAGCATAACATCCAAAAAGGTTGGGTGGGGTCAGGGGTTCGACTTTGTTTCATTCATGTTTCATTCATACGTTATAGTGTCGCTTGAATTGGAGTTTATAATTTTGTTTGTTGTGTTGTAGCTTCTTGATTTATTAGGATGTGATTGAACATCCAACGGACTTTGCCACGGTCAGGAGCAAGTTTTGTATGAATTGGATATGTATTTACATTTTTTTTTTGCTTGAATTGAAATGCCTTTAAAATATTGAACCTAATATGAAAAGCTTATTTATTTTTTTGAAATTTTTTTCAAGAAGCCTCCTGAATGCTTAATGTTTGATGCTTGATAGTTGTTATTCTTATTTTCTTTGGGTGTATTTGTAGTTGAAAAATAACAGTCATTTTATGATACAGCTTCTTAGAATAATTAACAGACGTTGTGTGTTTGTTGTAATGTGAAAGTGAATATGTAATTGGATAGGATAAAATTCAAACTATGAGCTGGTTTAACTCACTTTTTTTTTCCTGTTCGGTTGTATCAAAGGTTGTTTTACTTTCCAGTTCCAGTCATTGTACAGGCATTGCGTTTTGTTCAATTTTTGGGGTTTTTTTCTTCTATTCCCCAATTTGATGTATATTTTTTTGTGATTTTTGAGTTTCACTGGTATAGAGGAGACTGATTTTGTGATGTTTTGCTTTTGATTAAACTCATTTTGAAATTCCAGTATAACCCATTTTTCTAGATCATTTTTTTCCTACAACCCATTCATCAACAGAACACGTGACTTTTCCTTTTTTTTTTTGAAAACATGTTCACCCCAATTGTTTTTTTTTTTTTGAAACATTTGTATTATGACAAAACTGTTCTCTCTAATTCGAGTTCATGGTATTGTTCTCTTTTTTTGGTCTACTTTTTGTGGAAAATTGAAGAGCTTAAACTTAATGATACTTGCTTTAGTTCAGAAATAACTACTTGGAAAATAAAATAGCAACACCAAACAGAGCCTAAGTGGTCCAGTAAGGGGATGTTACCAGTTATACAGTAATTCTCTTAGTAAATTCTCTCAATAATTCTTTTAATATACAGTGCATATACAGTACACAATGATATTTGTCCTTTGCTTACGGGTTGGAGACTTTTATGCTTTGCCTTTTCTTTTATGTTTTTTGTCCTTTTGTTGTTGTTTTGGGTGGTGGGAGTGGAGGTAGTTTCTGTGGAGTTTCCTTGAAGGGACAGGGTTGTGTGTTTATTTCCTCGGTTTGGTTTTTGAAATGTTTATTGATTAACAACTAGGTGAACCTTCATGGGATAATTTGTTTGTCCATTCTACTTATTTATGAGATACGTATGTACATGTGTGTGTGTGTGTCCAATGGTTCTTTTTCACTCTAAGGAAATTAAATATGCAGACACCAAAAAGTATGTACATTCACCTAATGTAATTTTATGAGATGGTATCCAAAGACATCTCATAATTGTTGAGATGGTATTTAAAGAATATTTCTTGGCGAACCCACAACACAACACACACACACACACACTTGGGCGTTTAATTTGGGTGTTAAATAGAGTTTGTGAAATTTCAATTTTTTTTTTTGGTTCTTGAATGTTATTTTTGTCAATTTTATTCTTCAATGTTTGAATCTTCAATTTGGTCTAAAGTTTACTCGCTCTGATTTTTTTTTTCTTCTAGTTTCTACAAACGTATATATGTGCTCTAGATTTACTGGATGCAAAGGTTAGCAAATTAGAAACATCCGCAAAGAAAGAAGGAACACTAGAAGCAGTTCTGTTTGTAGACATTGTGAAGGTAAAACTCTAATAGAAATTGTGGTTGTTTAATAGGATTTTATTTAATAAGCATTTCTTTGTTCAATTTTTAACATTTTTATGTTTATTTTGCCTTTTTCTTTTGTTTGGGAGCAATTGAGGACCAAAACTTCAGTTTTTTCATTATTACTCACTGAGTTATGTTTAATTATTACTCAACTCATTTAGGTTGTATCTCTACCAAAATATTAAGGTTGTGCCTCCCTAAACTGTTTGTGTTATCTCTAGACGTATTTCTCTCCTATTACTGATCAATTATTTCAAAGCAAGATTCACAATCATATTTTCGATAGAAGAACATGCTAATATGCTATCATTGCTGGTTATTGTCTAAGTTCAGTTATAACTTGGGTCACTTCAAAGTGGAAGTCATTGTTGTTTTTTTTAGGATCATGGATGCCTTCATTGGAATTGCTTTGTTTATTACAAAAGAAACTGGAATTATTATCGTTAGATAGTCGCTCAAAAGCATTGTAACTTCATAGTACAAGTCTTCTAATACAGTGTAGCCTATGCTGGAAAAATGATATTTTCATGGCAGTCTGCCAATCTTCATTGGGAAAAAAAAATCACTAAAGGGTAATTACATTATTTGCTTTGTTGCTATTCGTATTGGTATATTTTGATGTGGTGTACTTAGTTATAGTGTAAGTTTTTACTACTTATATTGCATTTAAGAGTTTTTCATCTGATTTTTTTTATATGTTTGGCTTTGCTAGATTTTGATTTCTGTGTTAGTTTATGAACTGAATTCGTATCAAAAAGAGCTACGGACACATTGCCGCCAATATCACATGATATTTTTATATTTCTCCTGTCCAACATCAAGAGGGATTTTTTTTTTTTTTTTTTTGCTCTTCTTTATCATTTT